GGAAACACTTATTCTGGTTTATGTTTCAAAGGTTTTAGTCCGTGGTTGGCTTTGGTCCTAAGATGAGGTGCAGTATCATGACAGTGGGAGCATGTGACAGAGGCTACTCATCTAATGGCACCCAGGAAGCAAAGGGAAAGCACACCTGTGCTGTGGGCGACCTCCTTCCTCTTTCATTCCATCTGGACCACCAGCCAATTGGATGGTGCCACTCCCATTCAGGATGGTGCTTTACCAATCCAAATAAGTTGAAATCAAGATTCATCACAGTGCCCTCACCTGGCACTTGTTACTGCCTCTAGATCCTTATTAAAGTCATTCTCAAAGGACAGGTGACAAAGTCAAATCCAGATGGAAAACTTGTAAACATCAAATGAGTCATTTTATTGGAAAAATTCTGGAAAACAAGTATGGAATAAAATATAGTATTGCAGGTCCAAAGAGAGAGGAACATAATTTTAGAGTGAACTAGATTCATTGATGTGTTATACTTAACACCAATTCTGGATTTAATTTGCTGGTGTGAATAGTTCAGATGTGTGTGCTCAGTAGGCTGACTGAAACCTGAACTCAACCATGACTTGTGTAGAAAGAACTAGAAAAACAGACTTTCTCTGTTTAACTTAGCAGAAGTAATGTGAAGACACAGAATGAAAAGAATGGAGCGGGATTTAATCTCATGTAATCTGCTCACCCACTTCCTAATTATGTCTTTTGGCAGGTCTAGATGACATGACTTTTACAAGGAAATGTACTAGTGAAAGGGGCACCAGCATCCTTGGGAAATGCATCATTGGCTAACCTCTGTAGGCTGGGGTGAAGGTGGATAATGCTCTATTGAAATGAAGTCTGATTTCCATGGGGATATTGGGATGCTCAATATGATAAAAGTCAAATACAAGCACCTACTTTCCAAAGGAAATGTGAGGATGGTGACTATAATAGGAAGCAAAAGACAGAATGACAATCAGAATGGATTGATCTTGGTCAGGGTAATTGATAATGGGTCCTTAGTTCAGAAACAAATAGACAATACACTAAGGTTCTACTTGATCTGAATTTCCAACACAGTCCTGAGTGTAGTATATAAAAATGTGGGTTGGTTACCTGCCACTGGAGTCATGACCCCTCTCCTAATTCCCAGACCTGAATCCAGTTCTCAAAACACTGACCCTTTTAAATGAAGGGGGATGGTATGGGAAGACTTGAGAATGGATAATTTGGCCAAATTATTAGCATTTTCCAAATCAGTCTGTCTGTATGCTGAATTATTTTGCAGAAATGAATCATTCTGGGATAGAAGAGATAGTTAAATCAAATTATGACTGATGAAGTATACAAAATTGAACATTGATTTTTTTAAGGATCACGATCCTTAAGTGATTCAAAAGTGCCCTACAGATATTGGGGAATGTAGACATTGGGGTTCATTGTTTATGTGCATAGTGTGTAATGTTCATGAAGGGAGAAACGAAGATGCTCAAGCAGATCTGAAACTACAAAAAGTAGTCCTTTATTTTCTCTGTCATCCCAGAATGCACAAGTATTGGGACATTTATCCTGATTATGGCCTTGTAATCACCAGACTACAAATTGGATATTTCTTCCCTATGTTCAGTCACTTTGTCCCCGCCATTATTTCTCCTCTTCTCTCTAACTCCCTGTACTGTCTTCAGTTACACCAATGCTCCACCATCTTTTGATCATATCCCATTATCTGTTACAAATTGAGCACAAATCCCAGTATTTGTTTATAAAAATATATACTAGATTATATATTCACCTGCATATATGAGACATACAAATAAATAGAAGTAAAAAGAGAAGATGCATAAAAACAGAAGTACTAACATTTTCTTCTCTGTTGGAGTACTCGTGTCTTACTCTGAAGACCTAAGTTTAGGCCCTCATGATCTCTCATCTAGGCAGTGGCCCCTAATCACCCACTGGGAGAAGTTCCAAGTCCTTTAGCACAACACCAAGTTCCTTCATGATTTGGTTCCTGCCTGACTCTCTTGACTCATCTCCTACCATCTTCCCAGTGACAGTTTATGTTTTAGCAGTGACCAGCCACTTCCTACTCCTTACTCATGTTATACTTGCCCATGCTTCCATGCGTAAACAACTGCTGTTACTTGTCTTTAAGTGAATTGTCTCTTCCTAGAAAAATTTTATTTTTTCATTAACTCTTCACTCCAGGATCAGCAACTTTGTGAATCATTCCTAATGATTCTCTCTGCAGAGAGGATTACTCCTTCCCCTTCACCCCATGCCCATGTGTATGCACTATGTTATTACCCAGATGTTATTTAGTATGATTTGCATTTATTTACTTTATTTCTTGTACTTGAGCACAAACTCCTTGAGTTCATAGCCAATTCTTATAGCTCTTGATATTCTTGGCATCTGGCACAGATGACTTGAACAAACGTGCTTGAGGTTAGGGGATATCAGAGTTTATTCATATTATTAATTGTGGTATGTTTCTCTAAGTACTGTGCCTTGTATCTTAGAAATGTAAATATTCATTGAATAATCAGATGAATGGATGGATGGGTGGGTGGGAGGATGGATGGATAGATAAATATATAGGTGAATGGAAGAATGAAAAGACAAGGGGAGGCGTGAAAGTTGTTTTAAATAAGAACAATAATGTGTAAGCAGTAATATGTATTTTTCGTAGTGCTCAGAGGGCAAAAGCAGATTCAACTATAATGAGTAATTAGGAAGCACATTTTAGCGTAATCTAAGGGGGAATGTTACCATTAGAACTTCATAAGTGGCACATGATATTTGTAGACAGTAGGATTATGTTTAACCAAAAATTTTAAATTGTATATTCATTTGATAAAGTGGCTGAGAAATATATGGTATGACTTACAAAACCTGCATGATCTAGCCTCTGTCTGCCTCTGTGAACTTTTCCCAGTTCCCTCCACTCTTCTGGCGTCTTGCTTTTCCTAAAAGGTAACATGCTCATTTACTGCACTGGGCGCTTGCTCTGCAAGGAGTATCACTCCTCCAGACCTTCTCATGGGCACTTCTTTCTTATCATCAGGAGACTCCTTGAGAGTAACTTCCACAGAAAGGACTCCCTTGATCATTCATCTGTAGCAGTCTGTTCCCCGTTTCCCATACTCTTATCCTCTCCACTTAATCTGCTTAAAGTCTGCACAGAATTTATCAGTATCTGAAATTATAAATTTTACGTACTTACTGACTTCTCCATTAGAGTATATGTTCTAAGATGAAAGGGATCTTACCTACTTTATTTACTCACTGAAACAGTGTCTACCATCATAGTAGGTTTCCAAAACACTGAATATATAAATTTCATAAGTGATTAATAATCAACTGGTTAGTTGATGGCTCCCAGCACTGAATCTTAACAGATTTGCACAGTAATTGATTTGATTTCATGGTTTTACAATTCGTTCCTAATCTGGTTGAAAATGAACCCCTCTTTCCATCATGTTCTAGGTTTTGTATTAGTCCATCCCAAGAATCTGCTTTACAAAACAGATAGTCTTTCCATAATGGAACTTAAATAGTCACTGAAAATACCCTGCCAATTTCCAATTATCTCTTTCTAATGTGTGAGTGCTTGAAATTATAACTTTACTCTTGAAATATTTTTAGTTTTAAAATCTTATAAAAATTATTGGATCAGTAATCATAGAGATAACAGGTTTAATTGCTAAAACTTAATGTTTGAGAGAGTAGGTTGGGGAAAGCCTGGAGTCCTCAGTTCTGGGTAAGGTGGCCTGGCACTTTTCTACCAAGGTGAGCTTGTAGAATATTGTATAATAAAATGACAAAGACTAAGACATAAATGACTGATTAAGCAAATCAGTGACCTGTCATCCTGTCTAGAAGCAGTTGGAATTTCAAATAAAATTGAACAGATGGAAAACATGTATTTTAAGGTTCATGGAGCCTTCCTTATATCACTAAATGCATGTTTTGGAATTCCATTGTCAACTCTGTTTAAAAGAAAGGGTGTGAGTGTTACTTTGTGATAAAATAAATACATAACAAATAGCAGATGTTCATTTTTTTGACATTCATTTGGAGTTTAGTCTCATTAGAATAAGTGAAGCTGATTTAAATTGACCTGTTGGTCACAGGAAGAAGGAAGTGATTAAATCCAGCTCTAGGGTTTGTGGAAAGCCATTTGAAGGAGATGTATGAGTGCAAGGCAGATACAGGCCCTTACAAGACACAGGGTCTGTAGAATCTGTATTTTTAAAAGGTTGCCAGGTGGAGGTTAGGGCTGAGTGCAGGTGGAAAGGGTCAAGAGGGACTTGTTAGGGCAGGAAAGAGAGATTTGGGAGATGCCCTACCATTAAACTATCTCATTTTGAGGCAATCGAAGCCTAAAATGATTAGTTGTGTTTTGTCCAAAAAAAAGATGCATACAATTGCATTGCAAAAATGGATTCAGCCCCAGCTTTCCAGTGTTGTTTTCATTCTGCAGGGTGTTCAGGTAGCAAGTATTAAAATATCTTAACAATCGAAATCTGTTTTTTATCTTTTCTCGGGGCAAGGGATGGAACCGAGGGCCTTGCACATGCTAGGCAACCGCTCTGTCAGAGTTATAACCTCAGCCCCAAGGGTGATATTTTGATAGGAATCAATCGTAGTTAGATGGCCACGTCTAAATCATACTGGTCCTGGATTTCCCAAACTGGAAGGGACTGCTATTTCTTGGCCCCAACAGAAAAATGGGCATTTCCGAGGCAGTGACGCTGCTATAAGGAGAAGCGGCAGGTAAAAGAACTTGACATCACCTTCCCAGTACGTAAGACACATTGGTCAGATTCTCTGGGATGACGTCACTCAGAGTTGGGGGGAGGGGAAACTGAGCATTCCACGTCACACCCCCTGGCCGAAGCCCCGCCCCCCGAGCGTTCTCCACTTTCCCTTTTTCCGGTACGTCGCAACGTAAGACGTGGGTCACGCAACATTAGCAATTGGTCCCGGAGGTAAAAAGTGAAAAGACGGAGAAGAAGGCGGAAAGGAGGGCGCGCGTCCGGGTCGGCAGGCCAGGGGCGTGGTGGGGCGGGGCCCGGCATGGTAACGGCTCGGAGGCCGAGGAGGCTTGGCCGCAAGAAGGCGGAGGAACCGGTGATTGCCGCCGCTGCCGCTCCCGCCAGTTCCGTGTGGCCCCCGCGGGCTCCGCTTCAGCCATGATGATCCACGGCTTCCAGAGCAGCCACCAGGACTTCTCCTTCGGGCCTTGGACGCTGACGGCGTCCAAAACCCACATCATGAAGTCAGCGGATGTGGAGAAGTGAGGCTCGGGGTCCGGGCGCGGGCTGCGTTGCTGGGCCAGGGCGGGAGGCAGGGCGAACTCTCCTTGCAGCCTCTCCGGGTTCCCGTGGGGTGGAGGCGCGGTCGCCCACGGCTCCACCGCTGATTGACAACTTCGCTGACCCGACCTATCGTAACCTTTGGTCGCTGACTTGGTGAAATTGTCACTCGTATAGGTTTGAGTTGAGCGTGACTGTTTAGGTGGACTTTGTCCCCTTTCTGGGCGCCTGTGACCTGTTTTCTTGGTTAATAAGACGACATAGATGTTTAGTTTTTTAGTGTCTCGGGTGCTGTGCCGGGTATTTGAGATGCAGAATATGAGGCAAACTGCGCCTCAAGGAATTCATAGTTTCGGGAGAGACAATTATGTTAGTATGAGCAACTGTTTAGGATGTACACACACATGCGCGCGCGCGGAGTGATTTGAGCTCTTAGGGGTCAAAGCAGTTGAGAAATGGGGGTCGTCTGAACTGAGTCGGTGAAGTCTGGGATACGGGTGGGTGTGGAAAGCCATCAAACCAGGGAGGGTGCGTTTAGTGGTTTTTGGATGCCTGTATTGAATAGTGACAAAGTTTGGGGTGGTCAGGGAGAGCGAGAGCTGTGATGTGTTTGAAGAACTGTTTCCCAGGGATTGGAGAGTGACGAGAGAGGGAGCGGAGCTTCTAAGGGGCTTTTAAGGGAGTTGTCTGACAACTACCAGGTGTAATATTACCGAGAGGATATTACCCGTGTCTCTTAAACATTTCCTTGCAGATGATACAGAGGATGGATTGGAGGGTTGCAGGTTTGAAGAGGAGACCAGAGGATAAAGGCTTAAGTTCTTGTGTGTGATGGCCAGTTGATATAGGGAGAAAGAAAAAGAATCTATACTGGTGAGAAGGTTTCTGGCTTGGGCTGTTGCATGTAGCATTGCCATTGAACAAGGGGAGAAGCACTGGAGGAGTTGCAGATTGAGGGCCAGGCGGTAGATGGAATGAGTTAAGATGTGTTGAAATGTGAGGTGTGTGGGGGTCATGAAAAGTGGAGATTTTCAGTAAGAACTTGATAGTATCTTGTAACTCTTAAAAAAATTAACCTCTGTGGGTTAGATTCCAGAATTATCAGCTTATAGTTGGAACCTGGAGTCTTGGGAGTGAATTAAGTTCAGCTAGAAGTCATCTAGAAGAACAAGATCCTGATGAGATGGAAAAACTCTAGGAGCACTTGCATGTTAAGATTCAGGCCGAGGGCCAGGCATGGCCTGTCTGTAATCGCGGTGCTTGGAGACTGAGGCAGGAGGATCTCCAGTTCAAGGCCAACAACAACAAAAAAACCATTCAGGCACAGGGAGTGACTGACCTAGAAGAGATGAGAGCTCTGAGTGTTTAGCTTTGTAACTTAAATAAAAACAAATGAGCTGTAACATTTTTGGCAACTCACTGAAAAAATTAGGAAAATACAGAAAAGAAAGGAAAGAATTTTCCTTTATCACACACTGCAGATGGAATTACTCTGAATTTTTCCTTGCCTAATGTTCTGTTACATATACTAACAGTACATATAAAGAAGTCAGTTTCAAATTTGGATACTCATAATTTACTTGCAGGCTGTAATAGATACTGTGTGCATAGAGTGTTTTAAGGGAATCAAATTCCAGATTTATAATCTCCCTGTTATTTCTGCCTGAGTATACTGAATCTCAATATAACAAAAGGAAGGCTTATCCTCACCCACCCTAAATTTTTCTGTGATGCATTCCTTAGGGTATCAAACCTCTAGGGTACTAAATAAATTGATTAGGTAAAATACTGGATTAAGGAGGCTTCACTTGTTTAATGTTTAAGGAGTCTTAAAACTGTAGGAGTGTCCTAATCTTTCTGTCCTAAAACTGGTCATACCTATTTGTTAAAAGTGAAGCTTGACATTAGAAAAAGGAGTATTTGGACCTGTGTTTTAAGATATTCTGAATTTAAATATTTGAAACAACATAGTTAATAACAGTGATTCTTTTGCATATATAACTGGGATATATTGTTGGACTACCAAATTTTTTCAGATAAACTGGGGAAACCCACAGAATCACATTTTATTTATAGTTGGTATACATTGTACAGTAACATAATTAAAATTTATATTTTATGGTACATCCTTATGGAATATATATATATCTTTACCTAATTTAAGTATTTATTATTTTCTGCCCCCTAACAAAGAATAAATTTTGCTTAAATTTATGGTGAAAATTTACCATTAATCATTCTAAAGATGTGCAACTTAGAATTTTTAGATCACTGATATGTGCACACATATGTACACACAGACAGTAAATATACAGTATGTCTCCAGCTTTTTTTCTTACTATTTTATCATGAACATTTTCCCACATTCTCTCTTTAATTATTTTTAATGGTTCCATAATATTTCATCACATGTAAATACTGTAATTTACATAACCATTTATCTCTTCATATTGGACAGAGTATTTCTTTTTCACTTATAAGGTTGTTGTGAGTATTAGTGTGTGGATTTTTTCCTCTGTATTTGGAATTATTTTGTGCTGATCGCCCAAAACTGATATTTTAAGTCAAATAGTGTAAGTTTAATTGAATTCTTGGAATTTTTTGCTTGGCTATAGCCCCAGGGCAGAATGTAAATTGGTGCAATCCTGGAAGTTGGTTTCTCTCACCACTGCCAGATGCCTTTACTTCTTTTCATTACCACATTTTCAAACTTGTAACAAGTTGAGAATTTTATTGGAAAAGTTGTTGTTTCTTTTTTTCCTACAAATGACAGGATCTTTAATTGCCCTTTTTTGTAGCTATTAATATAATTGTCATGTAAGAATGAAAAGTTCCCCAGAAATACCATACTTATACAAACATGAAACTATAATGTATAAAGTCATCTCCTAGACAGTCCCAGTGGAATTAAAACTATATTTTTTAAAGTTTGGTGAACTAGGAATGAGATAGATATTTCCAATGAGGACCAATATTTTCTTCATCTAAAATCTAAGTTGCTTAACTTGATCATGTAGGGTTTTTTTGCTTATTTGTTTTATATATATATATATATATATACAAACAAAACAAGTCTCTGTGTATGTGTATATATATATGTGCATATATAAAGACATACACACAGAGACCTGTTTGGTTTGTCTTAATTGGCAATAAATTTAAAGTGATTGAAAAAAGGATAATTGTGGACTTGGAATACACATGGATCCTTTGTTCACTTTAGGTAAAAATTTATGATTAATTTATAATTATAAATATAGTTAATAATAATTATAGCTAAAGCAGTTTAGGAATTCAGAAGTCTTAATACATAGAGCACTTATGTTTAAATCCTGTGCTTATCAGCATCTCTTAGAACTTCACTCATAGCATGTTTAAACTCATTGTACTTTTTAATTATAACCATGTTGGAAATGGAAGGAAAAGATTCCTGTAGTCTCTTTGCACTAACAAATGAACTGTTATTTTTCATGTTTTCTTTTTTATTCATTGTGCATTTTTTTTTTTTTTTTTTTAGCAACACTTGCTAGTTAGGTGCTCTACCACTTGAGCCACTCTGGTCGACTCTTTTTTGTGTTGGGTATTTTCAAGATAGGATCTCTCAAACTATTTGCCCAGGCTGACCTTGAATTGTGATCCTTCTGATCTCTGCCTCCCAGGTAGCTAGGATTATAGGAAGGATGCACTGGTACCCAGCTTCATGATGCACTTTAAAAGAAGTGTATGTGTTTGATGTTCCAGCCTACTATAATTTAGAAACCAAATGAAAAGAGGCAAGGGTGCTTCAGGGGCAGATACCTGCATTCTGGAGCAGCTAGAGGTCTATACACTGTGTTGAACTAGGGGACATTGCTTTCTGTGGTTGAGCGGGATGATCACTGATCATCAAGAAATGGTACAACACAAATAGCAATGGCAGAGGTGTTAAGAATAAAAAAAAAGATACAACAACATTTTATATTTTCTGTTTAAGGACCCTGAAAAAACATTTATTTAATTATCATATTATTGTTGTACTGGGGGGTACATTGTGACATTTATAAAAGTACTTGCAGTATATCATAGTTGAATTCACCGGCTCCATCATTCTTTATCCTCCTTCCCCCAATTCCTGAAATAGTTTCAGTGGGTCTCATTTTTCCATTTTCATATATAAGTACATAATATTTCTACCACGTCACACTCCTATACCCTATGTCCTTTCCTCATGTCCTCCCCCTTCCCACTGATACCAACCCTACCCCCTACCCCAGACAGAACATGTTTTACCTTCCTGTTCTCTGTTTTTGAAAAAAAGACATTTTTTTGTTTAAGATAGCTATACAGGGTGTTTCATTGTAACATTCCCATGTATATATGTGTTAGAACCCAAATTGGTTCATCCCTTCCATTTTTCTCTGTTAGTCCCCTTTTGATGGTGATTTCAGCAAGTTTAAAAATTATATATTCATTCCTGTTTAGAAAGCAGAGCAACCATATTCACCTTAACTTCCTTCTTTTATAAATTGGATAATTTGAAAGCCATATCAGAATCCACATCTGCATCTGTAGTTATATAAATGAAACAGTTTATTTGTAAAATTCCTGAAAGGAAAAAAATTATCACGGCCAACAGATGAGGAAACTAGACAAATCCTGGTGTACTTTAATTAGCCAAATGAATCTTAGTTAAATATACATTTAAAGATTCCCTCTTAGGAGCTATTCATTTCCAAAAAGTTGAAGTCCTTACTGTGTACTGACAAAAAGATTATGAGTTCTAGAATGTCTAAGACTTAGCTCATAGAAACCTAATAAGGTGGTTGACAGTGCTGGGAAATTTAGGACCTGCTGGCATAAATGAATGAACAACTTTTGTAATTTAAGCTACTGACCTGCATGTATTTTCTTTATTCCAACTTATTCTTTACATGTATACTCAATCTTTTCAGTACTGGTTCAGCAGAAGCTAGGAAAACTAACCACTACATAGTAAACAATGGAACCCAGCTGTATTTCTTGCACAATATTGTGAATATTGGTGAACAGTAGTCAACAAGGAATTTTATAGTACCTTAAAAAAACCACAAAAAGTCTATTGAAACATTTTGAAAAGTTTCCAAAATCAATAGAATAAATTTGGTTCATAACAAAACTGGAAGACATACTTGCACAGAACCTCTGTGTTAGTTATACTTTCAGGTTCAGAGAAGTGTAGATCTACATGGCCAGTGAGAATGTAACTACATTAAGAAATAATTAAATAATAAATAGGAATGTTCTCAGAAATTGGGGCAGTTTTTATGGCTCCAACATCTATAGAAGTCTCTATTCATCTTGTTTCTGTTAGTTGACAACTTCACTCTCCCCTCTCTCTGCCTCATGGCTTCTGTTTCATGCCATGTCTTTTGGTTTGTGCTTCATTTGTCACTCAGATTTCTGTGAAGAGAGAATCAGGGCAAGTTAATTGGTCATTATTCAATTCAGAATAAACATATTTAGCAGAGTTCTCAGGCGAAGGTTCAGGAGTTCTGACCAGCCCATAGATAACTGCTGTTGATAAAGGTGTTGAATTTTTATCCCTTAATTGAAAATCCAGGTTGTAACCAAGGTGATGTGATCATAAAGCATGGTAACTTGTACATACAGCTAGGTACTTTTTTCAGAAGTAACTAGCTGTCACTTAAAAAAACTGCAGGGGCTGTGGATGTAGCTCAGTGGTAGAGTGTGTGCTTAGCATGTGCAAGGCCCTGGGTTCAATCCCCAGCACCACAAAGCAGAACCGAAAAACAAAAACCCTTTGTAACAAGGATACAGGGATTACAAACCCAGCTTTTTTTAAGGTACCAAAGGGACTGGTGAGTTAGAGAGCCCTTGCCCCACTTAAATGGTGGGTGGGGGGGAGCATCTTCTACTTAAAATCAGCCAGTTAGTGCCATGTGGCAATGAGGGTCCAATGTTGTTAGGTTTTTCTTTCTTTCTTTTTTTTTTTTTTAAAAACCACTAGTCCAGATTTTAAAATCCCAATTTTTGTTGGCAACTGTTCTAGATACTAAAACAACAGCAACACTGTCAGGCCAGTAGAACACATCTGTGGGTTACTAATTTGTGATCTTGGTTTTTCTTAGCATGTCTAACTTTTCTAGTGAGGCTGCCCACCTGATACCCCAATATATCTAAAGCAGTGTAGTATAATGGGAAAGGGCCTGGTGTTACTTTTTACTAGTTCTGTAATCTGGAGCTAGAAACCAGCATCTCTCTTAGCTCATAGAATAGTTTTGAAGCTCAAATTTGACTATCTCAGAAGTGATCTCTGATCATGCTACTTAAAATACTGTCCCTTATCCAATTACCTTGTTTTATTTTTTATATATTACTTATCACTAGTTGATACTATATTACATATTTGTGTATTTGTGTATCTCTTACTTAGCTCACTACCTGTTACAGCACATAAAGATTTGATAGTGAAAGAATAGATGATGAAAACACTTTGTAGATTTTACAAATATACCATGTTTATTAAATTGTATGCTATTTAACTTATTCTGTAATGTAGGAAGAATTATGTTGGGATGAAAAGGAAACAAAAGTGCTAATAGTGATATAAAATAATCTCACCTGACTTTTGGTTATACGTAGGTTAGCCGATGAGTTGCATATGCCGTCTCTTCCTGAAATGATGTTTGGAGACAACGTTTTGAGAATCCAGCATGGCTCTGGCTTTGGGATTGAGTTCAATGCTACAGATGCATTAAGATGTGTAAACAACTACCAAGGAATGCTTAAAGTAGCCTGTGCTGAAGAGTGGCAGGAAAGCAGGTGAGAATCTGAGTAGTAATGGGTTAAACAAAAAAGGAAAAACTGAAGGAATTATTCAGTAAGGATATATATGTGTTTTATGAGAGTGCAGGATTAGTGTTGTTATTAAACTTTGATTATTCAAAATGTATTCTAGATTTGATTATTCTAAAATTCATTTTTCTCAGCCATAAATGGAGGTTAATTACCTCAACTACTTGAATACTTATTGAGTTAAATTAAAATATAATTGAGTTGAGCTATGTAGTGTTTACTTTTTCTTTCTTTCTTTTTTCTTTTTCTTTTTCTTTTTTTTCCGTTCTGGGGGTTGAATGCAGATCCTTGCTCAGGCGTTCTACAACTTGAGCTACTCCACCAGCCTGAGTTTACTTTTTCAAACTTTCAGTGTTCCTTGTCAGGACACAGTACATTGTACTTCAGTGTTCTTTTTATTTAAAAAAAAAGATGTGTACTTGTGATTTGCACTGAATGTGGAGTATGGTCTATGTCCATACCACCTTGAACTTGCCCAGTCTCATCTGAATATTTGTGGAGTATTAAAATGAATAAAAAATGTATTTTATAATTAAAACATCAATTTACTTTTTGCTTATTATGTACTAAGGTCCTTGGAGGATACAAAGAGGTAAAAGCTTTTATGTCATGTCTCAAGCAGTGCTCAGATACTTTGAAAGACTACATGAGTACATGACAAGTTAAATAACAAAAAAGGTGTAGATTATAAGAAAGATCTTGTACTAGTGGATTATGACAAGTATATACATTTAGTAGACTATTTCATATTATTTGTAGAATATAATTTGGTGTGATATATGAATACAGATAATTTATATTCTGCGTCACTAAATCTGTTCCTCGTCATTTTTGTATTTGAGGACGGAGGGTGAACACTCCAAAGAAGTTATTAAACCATATGATTGGACCTATACAACAGATTATAAAGGAACGTTACTTGGAGAATCTCTTAAGTTAAAGGTAAATCTTACTTTTTGCTTTTATGAGTCATTATTTGTTTTGGACAGTCTTAGTACTAGAACTTTCTAATAATGGTTTTTTTTTTTGCCACTATTTTCTGTTGTGGCAGGCTTCAGAGCCTAATGTAAAGGAATTTTGCTTAGTGATTTTTCAGTAGAAAAATGAAAGAAGGCCCTAGTGGAACAGTATGAGTGTGGTTTTTTTTCTCTTTGAGTTGAGGTCTTGGTATGTTGCTTGGGCTGGCCTCAAACTCTTGGGCTCAAGTGATTCTCTTGCCTTAGCCCTCTGAGTATGTGGAACTCTGTGCCTGGCTCAGGACAATATTTGTTCTTAAAAATGTTAGTAGAATAGTATACTGCCTTAGTATTAACATTATCATGATCAAGAACCATCTATCCTCGGTAATGCATTAGATAATTTAGACAGAACTTGATGGCTTAGAATTTTACACATGAACAAATACATGGGGAAACAGAACATTTGGTCAGAAAAGTTAAGTTTGTGTGCTACCTGAAATATATATACACCTGGTAAGACTTTGCAAGCTGCTTAATCTATACAAGTCTCAGTATTATCAGTAAATTGGGTAAATAGAAATAACCACACAGCAGAGTTTTGATATGAAATAATTCATGGGAAAGTTTGCATTAAATTCTAAAGCTCTATATTAGCATTAAGTTCCATCTGTGTAAGTCCTGCTTAAGAAGAGATTCATTTCATGGTAAATGACACTAAGAAAGTGGAATTGGTAGGTCTTATAATAGAAGTTTAGCTATATTTTCAAATCTTACAGCATGAATGAAATGAAGCAAATGTGGCTTAGATTGCATATCTTTATATTAGAGATTATTATAAAGAACAAAATTATTTCAGTGGAAGCTTTTTCCATTCAAAGTTATTGTTGAGAGTATATGACATTGGTGCTTAGGTAGAAATGTCAAAAAGATAGTGATGAGGTATGTGCTCTTTGTTTTTGCAGGAATATGGAAGTTTGTAGTAGGAACTGTCAGTTTTTGCCTCCCCAGCATTCTAAGCCTTAACTATTTCTCTGTGCTTCTAAGATAAAAACACAGTTTTTAAGAGAACATATAATCACTTGTCAGATATTCTTGAGCTGTTACTATGTGCCAGGCACTAATCCTAGAAGTTGTTGGTAGAACAGAGAATAGATAAAACTTCTTCTTTGCTGGATGGGATTCACACTTGTAATCCCAGCTACATGGGAGGCGTAAGTGGGAGGATTGCTGTCCAGGCCACCCTGCAAAAGTAAGCAAGACCCTATCTCAAAAACAACCAAAGTAAAAGAAAGCTTGGGTTATAGCTTTAGTGGTGGAGTGCCTGCCTAGGAAGCAAGCACAAGGCTCTGAGTTCAAACTCTAGTACTGCCAAAAAACAAAAACAAAAACAGAAACAACCCATTTGCTATTTCTTTGCCAGGAGTGAAGAAATGGGAACTTTTTTTAACCTCATGAAATAATAATGATGGTTGCTTTAGGAAAAGCCTCCTGTATGCTATGAAGTGGCATTAGCCATAAGCAAGAGCCATAGAAGTAGACACAGGGAGAGTGAAAATTAAGTGTTTACTACTCTCTTATTGATACCTGAGCCTATAATGGAATTTATTTCAAGATATTGCTGATAAATGTCAGTGTGATCATTCACTCTATGGTGGTAATAAGCTCCAACTTTGCAGAACACAGATCTGGATTCAAATCAGCATTGTTTACTAGCTTGGAAAAGCAATTTGACCTGGCAAAGCCTTGTTTCTCACTTTGGTAAACTGAGGAAGTAAATAATATTATATATGTAAAGTATTTAGCACAGTGTCTTTTAGGCTTGCTAGGCAGGCACTCTACTACTTGAGCCATTCCACCAGCCCTACCACAGTGTCTTTTATTCAGTAAGATCTCAGCAAATGGCAGCTGTTATAATTATATCATATCTCAAATATCAGAGGAATCTAAGTTTATATTAGTGAATTACCAAGAATAGAAGATATATTATCTAAATATTTATTCTTCCTTTTTGATGTACAGTTGATGAATGTGTTTCTCTATTGCCTAAAAAAATGAAGTGACGGTTTTCTTTGCAGTACCAGTGGTTAAACTTAGGGCCTTGCACTTGCTAGTCAAGCACTGTACCACTTTAGCTCTGCCCTTAGCCATTTTTGCTTTGGTTATTTTTGAGATAGGGTCTTGCTTTATGCCCTGGTCAGCCTGGACCTCCATCCTTCTAGTTGTGCTTCCCATGTGTGTGGGATGACAGGCATGTACCATTGTGCCCAGCCATTGGTTGAGATGGGCTGACCTAGAGCTCCATTCCTCCAGCATGGTTAGGATTATAGGTGTGAGCCACTGAGCCTGACTAAAAATTTTTTTAAAAAGCACTTTGGAACACCTTCCTAACTCATTCACTGTGCTCTAATATCTTGGCCATAAAATTTATCATCTTTACCATTTCTAAGTGTTAAATAGGTTAACATTGTTATGTAACCAAACTCTAGACTTTTTCATCTCTCTAAACCAAAATGCTATACACATTGAACAACTATTTGCTAATCCCTCACGTCTGCCCCTGGCAACCAACATTCTGCTTTGTTTCTATGAGTTTGTCAACTTTAAATGTCTCATTTAAGTGGAATCATACATTATTTGTCTTTTTGTGACTGGCTTGTTGTAATTAGCATAATGTCTTCAAGGTTCACCCATATTGTAGCATGAGGTAGGATTCCCCCCCTTTTTTTTAAAGGTTCTTCTTGGTTTCTTCTTTTGTTTTTTTATTTTTATTTTTTATTTATTTACTTTTTTTTTCATTTATTCATATGTGCATACAATGTTTGGGTCATTTCTCCCCCTTACCCCCCACCCCCCACCCCTTTCCCACCTGCCCCCTCCCTTCTTTTTCATATTCTGAATGGTATTCAGTTGCAGGTATATGACACATTTTGTTTCTGCATTTATCTGTTTATGACTGTTTGGATTGCTTCCAGCTCTTGGTTATTGTAAACAGTGCTGCTGTGAACATGTATGTGCAACTATCTCCTTGAGATTCTGCTTTCAGTTCTTTTGGGTATATTACTGGATCATGTTGTAATTCTATTTTTCATTTTTTGAGAGATCTTCATACTGTTGTCCATAGCGGCTATAGCATTTTACATTTCTACCAATAGTCACTAAAGTTCCAAATTTTCTGTGTCCTTACCAACACTTTTTTCCTTTTCTTTTCCCCTCCCGTTCCCTCCCTTCCCCCCTCTCCTTTCTCTCCTCTCTTCTCTTCTCCTGTCCTCTCCTCTCTGCTCCTCTCCTCTCTTCTGTTTTTGGTTTTGGTTTTTTTTTTTTTTTGACAGTAGCCATCCTACTGTGTGTGTTAATCTCTTAAAATCTCTGTCTTTGCTGAGTTTTTCATTCAGGTTGCTGAATTTCTCATCCAGGTCTTGAATTCTTTACTTCATTCATCTGTTTATTTGAATCCTCTTTGAGGTCACTGATCATTTTTAAAACTTGACTTGAATTCTTTTTCTGATTTCAACCATTTCAATATCTTTGGATTCAATTACTGAAGAGTTATGAACTTTCAAAGGAGTCATTTTGCTTTTTTCATATTGCTGTGTTTCTGTGTTGGGATTTACACGTGTGTTGGGATGAGTATCCCTTCTAGTTGTTTATAGGGGATCTTCTAGTGAGCATCCTTGAGTGCTCAATTCCCAGTACCACTCAGAGAGGAGAAAACAAACCACCATAACAACAATAACACCAAGACAATCCAGACAGAAATACAATAAAAATCACTTAAAGCCAACTATGACACCACCAAATAATGATAGGAAAAAAAGTAGGACTTAAAACATTTAGAAAGTAATAATAATGAATGAATGAAATAAAGGAAGGGCAGGAAAATGGAAAAAAGGAAATAAGCTTAAATAAAGAAAAGAAAGGAAAAAGGAAGAACAAGAGATATAAAAATTACAAAATAAGTAAAATTAGTTAAAGGTAAGAAGAATAAAACAAAAGATGTTTTTAAGAATTAAGATCAAGTATAAACAATATTAAAGATGTAGTAAAATGAAAAAGTACAAAAAGGTTAAAAGATTGGAGGGGTTCTTCTTTCCTCCCCCCACCCCCCCAAATCTGCCAGGTTGGGGCAGGGTAGTGAGTTGTAACTGGAGTCTATGATAGTTCCTGCTGTTCAGGCTGGTAATGTATGTGGGCTGAGGACCCAGGTGGGCAAGGTTCATTTGTCAGCTTCAGGGCCACATTCACTTTAGAAGCTTCTCTGAACTGTTTGTTGTTGTTCCACTGGGGGTTTCAACTCAGGGTTGTGCTCTACCACTTGAGCCATACTTCTTTGTGTACCATACTGGAGCCGGTGATGGCCTCAATGAGCTTTGCAACCTCTGGTGCCAGCAGGTCACTTGCTCCAGAGGTCCCCCAGTTTGAGTACCCAGGGGGAGCAAACATCCAAGCTGAGGGCTGTCTCCCAAGTGCATTAGAAAGTAGGAAAGCAAATAGTACTGATCTCTGCATTGGAGGGGGAAACCTAAGGGAAGTCACTACTCTGCCTACTGGTCTCAGTGCTTTCAGGCCTCACACAGCAGTAAACCATCCTGGGGGAGGGAGGCGCATGGGGAAATGAAGCAATCTGCTAGACCTGGGACCTGGTCCCAGAGTTCTCAGTCTCCACAGGTGATGGCTGTTGCTACTGGCCGTAGAGGGGAGCCACCAACCATCATGCCCATCACAGTTTATGCTCCTGACTGCCTAAACTCTGCTGGTCTCAGCCAACCCTCACCCTCTCCACAAATGCCTCTCCTGCCCAGGAGCTGTGGCACAGTATCCCCAGGCTGCCTGACTTGTGTTCCAGGGTAGCTTAGTCTCAAACAGTAGGCGCCCTCTCAAAATGTTACCTGGCTGTAGAACTCTGTGATGGTGGAGTGATGAAATGGGTTTCTTCTCTACTGCTAGCCTGCCATGCAAGAGGAGTCACTATGACCAAGTTCCCATACTGGATTTAATGCCTGTAAGAACTGTGGATTTCTCTTGCCACTAGGACTGCCAGTCTGTTGTTACCAGGGCTGCCTGTCTACCTTGTGGTTGTGGTTTCTGTCACTACTCCTCCCCTACTCCCTTACTCCCCCCCATCCCCCAACTTCCCTGGGCTGGCGTTCTAGCTGCAAACTGTTTCTTATTTTTCTCTGGGTGGCCCAATTCTCTCTTTGAAATATAGTCTGTCCTTTGTTACTCTGACAGTTCTCATTCACATAGTTGCATGGTGAAAACCTTGACTATTTTTTGATGAAGCTGTGGTACTAGTTATTTATTGTATCTTCACTTTTTCTGAATTAAAGTATATTCTGATCGTTAATGTCTTCTGATGGCATCCAAATTTAGAACTATATGTTCTAGTTATGCAAAAGAGACTGATAAGACTACTTTCTTGTGACTCTGTAACTCCTTATTTTTAAAAATTTATTAATTTGTTTTTTTGAGACAGGATCTTGCTGAGGCCTAGGCTGGCCTCAAATCCCTGATCCTCCTGCCTTCGGCTCCTGGGATTACAGGCATACACCACCATGCTCAGCTTCTTACATTTTCCAAATGTTCCTTTTAAATGTTTCCTTTCAGGTTGTACCTACAACAGATCATATAGATACAGAGAAACTGAAAGCAAGAGAACAGATTAAATTTTTTGAAGAAGTTCTCCTGTTTGAGGATGAACTGCATGATCATGGAGTTTCAAGCCTCAGTGTGAAAATTGTGAGTACTGTGATTTTTGTTTAAATTTGTATCATTCTTCCATTCTTACCTTTGGGTAACATGTTGTCATGTACAATTTCTCTTCAGTCTACAGTACATCTGTCTTATTGAGTATTTACTATAAAATTTATGAAAAAAATCTTTATATGTTAAGACTTTAGTATTTTTTGTATACCTGCCTGGCTAACTTGTAGGTTATTCACTTATTATTTGACTTGAATGAAAACTGTGGCTTAATTTTCACATTTTCAAATTAAAAATGATATTTGTAGGATGTGCAGACAGCAAGGTGGATGTCATTCAAGAAAATGACCCATGGGTCATCCTGAAACTACCACTTCAGCATGGAAAATGAAAATACAAGTGTAAATTCTCTTCCTCTTTTGTATTGTTTTCTATCAGTGGAGGACAAACTAGTCCTATTAACAATGTTATTGGTAGAACATGGCTAAAAGAAATAATAAGTAGGTCACTTGTTTAATACTGGGCTGTAATTGGGTTTCTAGCACTTTTCAGAAAAACCTTAAGTGAAACTTTACTAAATGCTGAAGTCTCAGCTAAAATGTTACTTCCTTTTCACAGCTCCTCTAGGCAGAGTTGAATATACCTTTTCCATTTTGCCATAATAAGTTTTTAAAAAAAAAAACTTTTCATTTCTAGCACTTCTTATGAGCTCTGTCAAAAACACTTCAGTATCAACATTGTTCTTGAGCACAATGATTGTGGGGGTTGTAATTTCAACAATAATAAAGAATAAAAACAATAACAAGAAAGGAGCAATATATTTGTTTTAAAGTCAGATGTTTTTGTGGAATCATAGGATTTGGAATTGTAAAGAATTTTTAGAAAATCATTTAGTCTAGCCTCTTCTTTTTATGATTGATCTCGATGGAATGTTCCCTTATGGTATGAATATCAAATGCAAGTATGTTATTATGGTTCTCACCATTTTTCTTCCATTATATCCTAGTCTAAGTGGGAAAGCATTAAAATTCTGTTGAGAGGTATGCTAATTTCTTCAGAGCCATAAAGCCAGCCAGCCAACCATCCATCTACCCACTTACACATTTTTCCTATTGTGGACCAAGTCCACAAAAGATTAGTTTATCTAAGATTGTAAAATAATTCGCTATAAAACTTTTGACCCTTCTAATATATATCACTATTTTAACATTAGATAGTTGTTCTATAGCACTTTACTCCTTTGTTCACTTACAACTCTCTCCAAATTTATTTTTTCATTTAATCTCCAGCTCATGCAGTCATGTATCCATGCGTTGTTGGTTCACCTACTGAATTGGCTACGTTGAATATTCATTATGATTTTGCATATCTGAGTGTACATTTGTGTCCAAGTGGGTGATGATGTGTGATGTATATGAATAGTGGGTAGATAGGTATGTAGGGAGCACGTGTGTTTCTGAGGATGAAAGATACATCCTCATGTAATACATATTATGTGTGTACTAGATAAATACTCAAACTGTGGCATAGTGTCATCTTAAAACTTGTGTTTCTAAGTTACATGATAGGGTTGCATTTTTAAGAATGCTTAGAAGGCCAGGAGCTGGTGGCTGAGATCAGGAGGTTTTGGGGTTTGGGGACTGCTGAGGCAGGAAGTTCTTGAGACCCCCATCTTAACCAGTAGCTGGACACAGTGTGCGTGCCTGTCATACTAGCTATGTGGGAATATGAGATTGGGAGAATCCTGGTCTAGGCCAGCCCAGGCAAAAAAGTTTGTGAGACCCCTCCTCAATGGAAAAAAGCTGGGTATTGTGGTGTACATCTGTTATTCCCAGCAAGGGAAGCTTAAAACATTAGGATTGTAGTCCAGACCAGCCTAGGCAAAAAGCAAGACCCTATCTCAAAATAACCAGAGCGAAAAGGGCTAGAGGTAGAGCACCTGCCTAGCAAGCACAGTATGAAGCCCTGAATTTGAATCCCAGTATTAAAAAAAAAAAAGAGTACTTTGAAGGATTTTATTAGATTAGTGTCCTTTCTGAGTTGGTTTCTTCCTAACACTGTAACAGCGCTATTCTAAATAAAATAAATGCCATGGTTTCTGGTTTGGAGGCAATGAGGTATGGACAAATTGAGGTTCCCTGTACAGAAGCAAGGCCTAGCCTGGTAATTGTGGGTGCAGAGCAGATATCAAGCGTTGGTACTTGGGAAGATGAGGAAGCAGAAAGGGCTTCTAAGTGTCTGTTATACTGAAGTTTAGTTTTTTTGGTTTTAGCAGTTAGGATGTTGTTAAACTGTTCTGTCAAAAACAGTTTAAGTTATGTGACTAGGGGGTAAATGAAAGATGTATAGGTGGAGACAGAGTGTAGATGTACATCAAACTTTTTCAAAAAAATCCTTAAAATTTATTGGAAAATAAGCAGATATGGCAGATAGCTAACATGAGGTTGACAGAAGTGTGTATGCTATATTTTTTCTTAAAATTATCTGAAGTATAGTAGTAGTGCTTACTGCTTTTACTTGATTTATCTTTAACTGGAAAATTGCTGAAGGCTTTTAATTGTTTTAGAATTGCTAAACTATTTTCTTATTAATGTTCATTTCTCAGTTTACAAGATAGTTACTAAACAGTCTGAAAAGAAATGCTGATAACAGAAGCTATTTATGTAATAATGTAATTTATTTTAATTCTCTGATGTAGTTGGATAGAATCTTTAGGTTATTCTTTATTTCAGTGCTTCAAAGTTTCGAAGTGTTTTTTCACCTTAAATTTCCATACAGTTTTCCAGAGAGAAAGAGTAGATTTAGAGCTCTGTGTATAATGAGATCTGTGAGGTTTCATTGAGTTCATATGAGTATTCATAATTGCCTATATCTAATTAAATGATATTTGTCTCAGAAATTGTTTTTTTCTTTTGCATTTCTAAATTAGCTTCTCTAGCAATAGTTTGGTTTTGTTTTTAATTTGTGTGTGTGGGGGGGGTACTGGGGATCAGACCTAAGCCTTGCACATGTTAGGCAGGCAAGTGCTGTACCACTGAGTTATATATTCACAGACTAAGCTTCTTTCAGCAATGTATGCCTACAGGTTAGAATTTTGTGTCCCTAGCATTCTGTTGTACTCGGTAGGATTTATGGCTTGTATGACTTTTCTAATAAAAGAGATGTACTTCATGCTAATGTATTAATTTTTAACTTTTAAAGAAAATATATTTCCTATGTACTAAATACTGGCAGCTCTATGGTATTCTGAAATGGCTGTCACAGCTAATGACTACTTCCATTATGCATAGAGTCAAGAGTGGATGTAGTCTATTTTCTGCTTCCATGTTTTACTTAGATTCCAAGTATACTGGACAAGAACTTATCCTCCAGCTCTGACACAAAGAATTCTGCAGTGCCTGTGCAGAGATTTCTAGCTTTTGCTAGAAATCTAGTCCTATAGAATTGTCAAATTTTGGGCTGTCAGAGTGGGTCGAGTGGTAAGAACTCCTGCCTAGCAAGCACGAAACCTGAGTTCAAGTTCCAGTATCACCAAAAAGAAGAAAAAAGAATTGTCACATTTGACACAGACAGTGCCTTAGTGATTATTCCTTTACACCCCTCCTTTTACAGATGAAAGAAACCTTGAGTAATTTAGTAGCTTTGCTCTAACTGAATAGATCTCAACCTTATCACATGTATTGTCCCATTCCCTTTTTATCAAATATGTCAAGCTGAACTATTGATTCATAGATATTACTACCCTGAAGTGAAATTTGTACGTAACCCACCTTCTTTCTAATAAATCAACATAATGTCCTTATTTTAAAATAAAAGTGAAATTAAAGGTAATTGATTTAGAATAAAATGATGTTTTTCATTATGTAAATTCACAATGTGACTGCAGTAAAGATACAGTGAAGCAGTCAGGTACTTATAATTGCACACTGAGTCACACTATGAATGTGATAGCTACAAATGTAGTCTGACAGAGATGTAGGGTTTCAGTCAGTGACTTAACACAAACACCACTCCCATTGCTGTTGTAATTGTCCAAAATGGTGGAAAACTCTTAGTAAGTTGTAAATAAATTAAAAGATAATCTTTCCTTGATTTATAAGAAAGATGCCTTACTGAATAGTTGAGTGAATTTTATATTTATAGATGAAATAGTTACATAATTATATAATAGGTTTTACACCTACATGAATGCCAGGTGAAATATTTGTAAGTTTTGTGGGATGCTGGGCTGGACTTGGTTGTATAGGATTGTCCTTGTGCATCCATAATCTATCATCTTGGTTCTTACTTTCTAAGGAAAGTATCATTGTGATAAAACATTCTCACAGATTTCCAAATATTCCCTATAGGAGACTGCTGCTGTAAAATGTACAGGTGAATTTTGGTAGATCTGGTCTTCTAATCCCTACTCTTCCCTCTATGCCATGCTGAAGTGATACTTCAACTTGCTACCTGTGTTGTCCCCAGTGTTAATGTTAATAACTAATTTTGAAATTTGAAGAAATGTTGCAGATCAGTCTTTCCCACAAATTGTAAATAGCCTTCCATGCTAATGTCAGGTAATGGTGTACTTCCCAATACATTGTGATATATCAAATTCTCACAAGTCAGTTTTTTTTTTCTTCAGCCTTTCTTTACTATAAGTCTTTAAAGTAAAGGCTGTGCTAGATAACCCCATCAACATGCATTTTGACTCATGCATTTTCAGCCTCCAGCCTCTATATTCATTTGAAAATTGTTAATGAGCATCTACTGTGTGTTAGGTATTTTTCTAGGCATTAAGGTAATGAACAAAGCAGATATTCCCACTGTAGTGGAGTCTGCAGGCAGGTGGAGAGAGAGAGAGGCATTTAGCAAGTAAACTCATAGATGAATATAGTTACAACTCTGTTAGTTTGTAATGGAGTACTATGAGACAGAATATCAAAAGGACCCTTCCATGGTATGGAATGGTAAGAAAGGCCACTCCAATCTCGAGGACAAGTAAACATTAGCCAGGAGAATATTCCAGGTAAGAAAACAGTGTAAATAAAGGTCCTGAGGCAGGAAAGAGCTTAGCCTGTGGCTAGTAACTTCAGACAGCTAAGCCACTATCATTGTTATTTCTTCATTAGTGTAGGCTTATGCTTATATGGAATTATGGGTGTTTTTCTTGTTTTCTGCCTTTGTACTTTTTGTACATGCTTTTTCCTTGTTGGAATTCTTTCCACCTGCTGTTGTTCCTGTGGTCAGCTCTAGCATTACCTTCTCTCACTTCCTTTAGCAGACTTAGTGCTTCCTCTGAGTGCTTATTGAACTTCATGCATACCTTTCTTATAGTAGATACCACATAATTTATGTGTTTGACTGTATCCCTGGTTTGTAAGCTTTTTGAGCATTGGGATTTTATCTTTTCATTTATATAAACCCAAAACTTACTATAGTAAGAACTTGATGTTTAGTAGACAATAAGTATTTATTCAGCAAGTGGTCAAGCATATTCTTATTAAACAGCTAAATACCTCACACCTTGTCTAACTTCCCTCCCTGCCACTAGGACCTTCCTGCTTATTCTTCTGACTATTTGTGGCTTTCTTTAATAGTTACATTTGGAAATCACAGGAGTTTATAGATGTGCCACAGATGAAAGTTGTTAAAAACATGTTATAGTGTTCTGATAAACCCGTCTTTGGCAGTATGAAATAGTACCTACTTGGTTGCCTTTGACTAGAGCATTCCATTTAATGTCTCTTGCCTTTGTTATATACAAAGTGGATGAAAGTGAGAAGCAACAAAGAACTTGGTAGTTCTTTCATTTTAATGTTACTGATGTTAACATATATTAGCAGTACTATTATTTTAAAACACCAATAGGGTAATTTTTACATTACTTAGATATGTTTTAAGTCTTTCACATCTCAGTGTATTGACCTAGAAAAAAGTTGTTGTAGGAAACTGAAACCATGACATTAAATAATTTGCACAAGGTTTTGAGGCAAGTTAGAGTTAGGACAGTGAATCTCAGAGATTTCTATATATGGATGGCACCTGACTTAGAATGGCTCAGCTTTTTGATTTTGACTTTATCATGCTGTGAAAGTGTTTCATCTCCCTGGCTAGCAATATGTGGAATGATACTCTCATGTTGCTGGGTAATGAGATGCAACTCCCAGTCAGCCATGTGACCACCAGGGGAAACAGCTGATTCTCTACAGTGTACTGTGCTTCTAAGCTGTGACGCTCAGCAGGTTAGGTGTATTAAATGCATTTTCTACTTAGATATCTTCAACTTACTTAGACATTTTTAGACATTTCCAACTCATCATGGGCTTATTTGGAATATAACTTCATCATAAGTCAAGGAGCATCTGTGCTGCTAATTTATCCCTCCTTCAATGGTTTTTTTAAAAAGCTTCTTTTATCAAAGTAACAGAATACTTAATTTTCATTAAAATATTAATGTGCTTTTTTTTTGCAGAGAGTAATGCCTTCTAGCTTTTTTCTACTACTGCGGTTTTTCTTGAGAATTGATGGGGTACTTATCAGAATGAATGACACAAGGCTTTACCACGAGGTACCTATTTTCATGTAATGAATGTATGAATTGATATCAGGCCTGTTTATGTTGTTTCATTGTCAGTCTGAGAATTTGGGGTTAAATAATACTTTGTACTACATGGCAAGCTTTTAACTTACAAGTTTAAGTGTTTCAGATTTAGTATTGACTGTACACTGTTGTCAAAACATTAACATCTGTTTTTTTTGCAGAAGTTCTGGTGGCTAAAATGTTTTCTTAAAATACTTCGTAAGGGGCGAGGGGAAGTGATGCTTTAAAAATTTTTATTTTATGTATTTGACCTGTGTTTAAGAAAACTGCCCTTTAATTCTTACGTTTGTTTATATAATGTCCTGATGTTAGACATATCAATCAAATGACACCCTCACATTTGTATTATATACTTACTTTGGTAATTATTCTAAAAGTTTAGAGGAGGTGCTTACATTGAGTCATGAAAATTCCTGCATAGCTTCATAGCAGCCTGACCATTCTAAAAGATACTTTAATTTCAGATTTGTGGTCATGGAGAATGAGGAATTAGAGAAGAGACACTAGTATTAACTATGGTAGTCATAGTATTGACTAGCTCTGATAAAAATCCCATGAAATCAGTGCTAGTATTATCTGTGTTTTATAGCTGAGGTAACCAGAGCAAAGTTAAGTAGCTTGCCTAGGATACTTAAGGTAGGTAGGTGGCTGAACTGGAATTTGAACCTAATAAGATGGGATTGCATTGGTGTTTCCCAAGTCCCATTGCTTAGAGATTTTTTTTTCTTGTAACAACAGTGTGACTGTTGTCAAACTTTTTTCTTTTTAAAAGTGGGTTGGAGGTATGGCTTACGTGGTAGAGTGCCTGCCTATAAGTGTGAAACCCTGACTTCAAACCCCAGTATTAAAAATAAAAAAGTGGAATAAAAAAATCTGTATTTTTCTCCTCCATAAAAAGTGAAATTTAAATCTTAAATACAGTATTTTTAATGTAATTATGTCGATTTTTAGGAATTTATCCTAAAAAAGATTCTTTTATACAAGAATTTAGTTGCTCAGAGTTGTATGTACATAAAAATTTACAGCAGTATTGTTTATAATATCAAAAATGAAGAAAGGAAAGAACTTAGTGCCCATTAAATGGGAATTGATTAGATTTTTACTTTCTGTGCATATAGTAGAAAAATATTCAACCATTATGGAAAACAAGGTTGGAGATATAGCTTAGTGGTAAAGCACTTGCCTAGTTTGCCCTGGGTGTGATCCCCAGTACAGCAAAAAAACAAACAAAAAAGTAGCAGATTATATTTAACTAATTTGGAAAGACATCCTTCTCAGTGTTGAATTTTTAAAAATTGTATGAATCTATTTATATAAAAATTTGAAATACGAAAGATGTTATCAACAGTAGCTGTGATTGCTAATGATTCACCTTCCTTTAAATTTTTGTATTATTTAATGTTTCATCGTGAGCATTAATTTGTTTTTATTGATATAAAAAATTAAAACCATAAGGGTGTGCAGTTTTGCAGTTTTTGTTTTATTGGAAAATGTTTCACCAAAAAGAAAAGTATAATAAATTGTTGCTCTTCAACCTAACTTGAAAAATTTTACCTTGTATGCACATATGAATAATAAAAGAAAAAGAAAAAAAAAGAAAAATTTTAAATGGGCAATGCAGAAAAGATGATTTTAAGTAAAGAATTTGGCACAGGAAATAGAAAATTAAAAATTTAAAGCATTTTTTGGAACATAAAAGTAGCTAGTGATACAAGGTAAACTGTAAGATACCTTAAGAAAAGATTTAGTTTCACACTTGAAGTACATAATATTAAAATCTCTTGTGTATATGTTTGTGCACATATGCATATATTCTTTTAATGTAAAATCTTTGCTTGTAATTTTTTTTGCATAGTAATCAAATCTGTTTATAGATTATGTGGCATTGTGATTTATAGGGATAAGAAATAGTATTTCAGAATTCTTGGTTAGTATTAGATATTATCTCAATGTAGAATAAGATGTTCTTATTAGGATTCATGCTGTCTTTACAACCTATTCTAAAATGTAGGGAATCTGTTTAATTTATATTATAAAGTAATATAAATTTATTGCAGTGTTTTTATTTTTAAATATAGGCTGACAAGACCTACATGCTACGAGAATATACATCACGGGAGAGTAAAATTGCTAATTTAATGGTAAATATTTTAAATTAATTTTTTAGAAGTTGAATTTTCATGTTTTTTTTTTTTAAAGTATAATATCCTCCCAATCCCACCATTCACCTGAATTTCCTTCTATAAATCCATTAGTTTATAGGGTTGTATTGGGTAAATCCTTCTGGAGCATAGCTTAGCTTGCCTCAAACACATGTGGAGTTGTCAGGTGTCTTGGCCATCCCTCAGTCTGATTTCCACACTTTATTCTGGAGAAACTGAGATCCAGAGGTATGACGTGAGTTGAGTCTGTTTGGCGGGGGAGCTGCAGCTGGCACAAGATTGTTCTTTCTGCTTGTCACCAGTCGAGAATTTCTTTTTTACACAGTCTTCTTTAAATGTGGTAATCTGTACCATAAGTTGTTTTGATACAATTTTACTTTATTTTTTGCTTCTCTGAAACTTGAGAAGAGCTTCCTTAGTATTTAGTACTCTATAATAAGTTGCTTTAAAAGTAATACCTTTTTATACACTATTTATATACGCAGTACTTGGGCTTGTACTCAAGACCTCTCACTTGCTAGGCAAGCACTCTGCCACTTGTGCCAGGACTCTATCCCTTTTTGCTTTAGTTATTTTTCAAATAGGATCTCAAGCTTTTGCCTTCTTTTTTTTTTTTTTTTGGTCATACTGGGGTTTGAACTTGGGACCTCATGCTTGCTAGGCAGGCGCTCTACGCTCTACCACTTGGGCCACTTCACCAGCTGGGGGGTCATCCTTAAACTGCAGTCCTTCTGCCTCAGCCGTCATGCTGGGATTGCAGGCATGCACCACCACACCTGGATTGCTCTTCGAGAGTGTCTTGCTAACTGTTTGCCTGGGTTGGCTTCAAACATTGTCCTTTTGCCTCCCCCTCCTGAGTAGCTGGGATTATAGACATATACCACCATGCTCAGCCTACAAGTTTGATACTCTTTTTTCAACTTTAGTACTTACTTATACCCTTGGGTATACTTTGATTAGAAAATTTCCTCAAATTTTGTCATAGTTTACATACTGGGCTCTAACTGAAGATTAGTGCTTTCAAGTTACCAAAGCAGTAGGAACTCCTAGTTCAAGGTGTATTAAATTCTTAAATTTATGGGAACATTATAAATTATATAACCCTGTGTCCTTGAAAATCATTCTGCAGCAAAATTCAATGATTCAGACACAGAAAACACCAGCTATTTTTAGGAGCACATAATGATGCTTTTTATGTACATACATTGCACCTGATTTTGAAATTGGCATGCTTTGTGAATGCTTAAACCAGAACATTTTCAAAAAGTGTCAGTGCCATGATTGAGCATATGCTAATGTGGTTTATGTGTTTCCTAGCATGTTCCACCTGCCCTCTTCACGGAACCTAACGAAATATCACAGTATTTACCAATAAAGGAGGCAGTTTGTGAGAAGCTAATATTTCCGGAAAGAATTGACCCTAACCCTGCAGACTCACAAGGAGTTACACCTGTGGAGTAGAATGTGATGCACCTGTACACCTACTGTGGAATCTGAATGGACATGGTGGCTATTTGTAGGGTGATATTTTTGTTAATGAGAATTAATTTACTTGCTCATGTGCAGATTTTCTGTAGCCTTAAAGGAAAAAAAAATAAAAATTTGTTGCAGGCAGGTTCCACTCAACTGCTGTTTGTACTGTCTCTTTTCAAATTTATACTCCAGGGTTACATGTTGTGGAGTTAACTTTGGATTTCAAAATTATTATAAAGTGTGACTTCTGCAGCAGTAATGTATATGTGTCTCATGAGCAGTGGACATAATCTGCATCCATAAGGAAACACTGTCTTCTACTATGAAGAGGTTACCTTAACATCATTGAATCCCAATACCTGTGACTTTCATAGGAATCCTGATTGTGCATGTTGATGTACTAGGTGTTTGTCTTGGGCTTTCTAATGTCTATTTGCACTTCTGGAGAGTTGTGACTTGTCACCTAAGAAATTAGTCTCAGTTTAATGACCTTTACCCACAAAAAATTTTAAATTTATTTCCCCCTAATTTTAAGTTAGCTTTGAAATTTAAAGAAAGTTTTAGACATAGAACCAAAAAATGAAACAAAACAAAAACAAAAGCCCTAGTGTTTTGGAGAAGTTAAGCTTTTATGGACCTGGAAATGTGAACATGGTTTCCCTAGGATGGCAGAGCTGCCTTTCCTCTATCTTTCGGTGCTTTTCAGTCCAGGACCTAGATAGTACAGCAGATGTACAAAAGTAAATTTCAAATACATTTGTTTATTTTGATGATGGCCCTTGAAACATTTTATACTCTGCCCTGCCTTTCTACAGGGTCTTCGTAAAGTGGGAACAGAAGCACCAAGGAGGATTGGGGAAAACCACAACTTGTTCTGGCTTGAAGTAGCTGTTGTACATTTCCACTTGAAAGGCAAGACTTGATGTAGGATATTTAATTGAAAGAACTTGCAAAGCTCTTCAGGTATTTGCCTGAGAATAATTTTAGTGAGAAAAATATAGTTGAATATTCGTCATTGCTCAAACTTTGTTATATTGTTGTGAGCCAAACAGGCAGGGTATCTCATTAGCTAAATTTGCTCACAAGTACTTTTGGTATTTGTCTGCCTTCTGCATTATCTCCAAGGTGTAGGAAATCAGTTGTTCCTACACCTTGTTGTAGCTCAGTGTATATTAGATGTACCTGTATTTAATGCTTTCTTTTAGGACAGGAAAGGTGTGTGTGTGTGTACTATATGTTTATATACATCACATTGTACTCAGATTTCTGTTTTACTTGCCATACAGATTTGAACAGAACAGACTATTCATGCAGATTACAACAAATAAAAAAACTTGTAAGAATATTCATTAGTTGGAGTTTCTGGGCAACAGTGTGTGTGTTTGTATGTGTGTGAGTACACATGTATTTTAAAAATTTTGTTGATTTATATGTCTTGGTCTCTGAGTAGTCCTAGATCACTTATTTTGTTAAAAATTGTGAAGCATAAAAAGAATTGACTTTTTTTTTTTTTTTCTTAAAGACAGTGATAGGTGGCTAGGAAGAGTGTGCTTCTGAAATTTCATTAATTTACTCCTGTGGGGAATACCAAGAAAATTTGTATTTGGCTATTGCTAAATATGATATATATTATTTTATATTTATTTGTTCCAGTGTCTTTTGTAAGAGGAAAATAAACAATAAGAAATTGCTGATCTATGTTTTGATACTCAATTTATTTTAGCTTTTCTTCGAGCATCATTGTAGTAGAGTGCTTTTGGGGTGTGTCTTTCCTCTTTCTTATGTTTTGAATTGGTCAACATTGTAGACATTTTCCATGCAGATTGTAAATGAAACCCAAACAATTAATTTATAGTATAATGCCCCCATTTTACTTTTGGGTTCTTGTCCCTCCTCCCTCTGTTCCCCAGTACTTCTATGGATGTTCTAATTAGACAGCGTTTTCTGTATACTGAGTTAAGGTTTTCTGTTTTTGAAAATATAGATACCTGTCATGTATCATTCCATTCAGCTTTGAGTACTGTGTGTCTAACATGGTGCTAGGTATAAGTGAATACAATAATGAAAAGATATAGTAGAGTTGACCTTCTGTGTCCTTGAGTTCCACATATGTAGATTCAACCAACCTTGGATCAAAATATTTGAAAAAAAATTACATCTGTACTAAACATGCATTTTTTCTAGCTGTTATTCCTTGAACAAAGCAGTTTAATAACTACTTGCATAACATTTACATTGTATTAGGTGTTGTAAATCGTTTAGAGAGGATTTAAAGAATGTGAGGATATGTGTAGGTACATGCTAAAACTTTGCCATTTTATGTAAGGAATTTGAGCATCTGCAGATTTTGTTATCCACAGGGTGTCCTGGACCCAATTCGTCATGAATACTGAGGAGTAACTGTATTTATTTTCATGGGGTTAAAATCTAGTGAAGTAGACAAAAATAATAACAAATTTTAGTAGGTTCAATGATGGAAATAATAAGAGAATAACAATCAGTTTTAGTAGATTTTAGTAGAGTTCAGCTTCTGAAGATACAGAAAGCCTCAAGAAATGTTCTTACCAAGTTAATATGGAGAAAACACTGGGTAATTTACAAAATTACAGCTTTTCTTAAGTGAATCAAACAAATTAAAAGGCACACAAGTAAATTGAATCCTAAAGAATGGTAAGTTCTTCAAGGAGAGTAAGGATAGTATTTTCATCTTCAGAAGAACACAGAAGAAAGAAGTGTCTACTATATAAGCACTAAGAAAACACTGGCAAAAATTTTAACAGATTCTTGAAAGCTATATGTGGGTTAGTGTATCAGTTTAGAATAGCTGAAATACTCAAGGGGACATATTCCCTGGTAAATTCTTTCCCAAGGGCAAGGGCCTATACCTGGTACTCATGAGAAAGATTGGAGCAGGGCCAAGGACTTGACCAGCAAGTCCTGGTCAGTAGTTTAGACATGCAGGAGGTAATTGGGGATAGGTATAAAGCCCTGATCACTTCCCCCATGGTATTTTCTTGAAGGATACAAAAGCCTGTGGGTGTTGTGGGGAGGAGCAACAAATCACACCACCCCTAGGCAAAAATCCATTGCTTCTGGGAGAATATTGGCAAGACTTACCTGCATCTGGGGGAGTAGTAGAAAATTCCCTTCAGGACAAGCAAAGAATGATTACTGATAGAGAAGGAGGAAAGCAAAAATTGACCTTGGAGGAAGGACTGTAAAACAATCTGGGCCCAGGATCCCACACAGATAATTCTGCCCCTGGTTGTGGGCATGAAATGCTCACAGAAGATCAACCATAGATTTAAGGTAGAGTTTGACTACTGTTGGGAAATGGGATAGGAATGTTGAGAAAGCTACGCTCCTGAAGGTCTGACACAAAGCCTACCTAAGAGTACTTTACTGTCCCCACTATGAGCCTAGTGCCCACTAAGTAACAAGGAACATAGTTGAGAAAGCAGCAAGAGCATAAATGTAGATCCTCTTGGTGGTGTAGGCTTGCAGGGATCATGAAGTCTATTAGATAGACTTTAAGACAATAAAGTAACATTGTTGTGGCTTGAATATGAAGTGTCCCCAAAAAGCTCATCTGTTAAAAATTGTCTCCAACTGGTGGATTCAATCATAGATGATTAGATCATGAGGGCTCTGACCTAATCAATGGGCTCATAATTTGATAGCATTATTAGGAGTTGATAGAAATTAGGATGTGGGGCCTGGTTGAAGGAAGTAGGTCACTGGGTCGTGCCTTGGAATGACATACTTGTTGGCTGCCATGAGATAAGTGGATCTAGCACAAGCTGATATGCCATGGAATTCTGTTTTACCTCAGGCCCAAAGCAATGGATCCAGCCACCCTTGAACTGAAACTCCTTACCAAGAGCCAAAATAAATCACTCCTCAAGTTGCTTTTCTCTGGTATTTTCTCATAGGCACAAAAAACTGACTAATACACATATCTAGTAGAAAATCACAATCAAGGAACTTCAGCAGAGAAATGGATAAGAAAGAATCAAGTGGAAATACTGGGGGCTGGGGGAAAAGAGAGGGGAGATCCACAACATCAGAGATGAAGGAAAGGAGAGGCAGTGTGGGAACTATTCTGAGGGCATGTGATTTAACCTTAAACCTGAAGGATGACAATAATTCGGTCATGTGATATGTGTGGAGTAGAAAGAGCTTGAAGAGGAAAAAGTGGAGAAAATTTTCAAGGTAGGAAAAATTGGTATATTCCTGGCAGTGAAGAAAGATGTGTTGCTTGAACATAAGTTGAAGAGACTGGCTGAGGTCAGATTTTGCAGCATTTTGTAGTCCCTTTATAAGGGAGGGTACATTTCATATTGATACCCTGAGAAACAATGAAAATCGTGTGTGCAAGAGATATGACATGTTGGGTTCTCTTTAGCTGCTATGTTGGGGTTGGATGGTATTAAGAGGAGAAGCAGAATATTCAGGGGGCTATTGAAATAGGCCAGGAAAGTGGTGATACTGTTTGTGACAATGGATATGAAAGACTGGACTAAAAATATATTTTGATGGTTTATCAACCATCAATTTTCAATGAATTCAACATGAAAAATGAAATGGAAGCAGGAAGGAGGATGTTTAGTATTTTTTTTGCTTTTGTGTTTTTTTGTGTTTTTTAGGGTTTCAACCCAGGGCTTCATGCTTGCTAAGCAGGCTTCCCTGCTTGAACGCTTGACTCCAGCCCTTTTTGCTATAGTTATTTTGTAGATAGGGTCTCGCTTTTTGCCCAGGCCGGTCTGGACTGCAACCCTATTTATGCTTTCTGTCATGGCTGAGATGACAGGTACATACCACCATGTCTAGCAAGATGGCATTTTGGGTTGGCCTAAACTGTGATTCTCCCCATTGCAGTTTCCCAAGTAGCTGGGGTTACAGGTGTGAGGGACTCGTGCCCAGCTGATGTTTAGATATTTTTGTCTTGACCAATTAGGGTATGTTGGTGTGTAATGTGAAAGTTCTGTTGGAACATGTTAGGTTTGCAATACCTTCAAGATGCCCAAATGGGAATGTTTAATATGTAGTTTAATGAGTAACTGAATATGTAGCTCAGATGTCTAAGGTAAAGAAAGAAATTGAGGATATTACCAATACAGATGGCATTTGAGCCATATAAATGAATGAG